GGATTACCATTAAGAGGCAAAACTAATAAATTTGGTTGTAATCAAAATGGTAATATTTTAATGTCCTTGGAGCTAATTGCCTTATTTGATCCATATCTAGCTACACATATAGAACAATTTGGCAATAAAGGAAAAGGCTTTACATCCTATTTATCATTTAATATATTTGAACAGTTTATAACTGTAATGACTGATCAGGTTCTTATAGTTATAGTGGAAGAAATTTAAAAAGCAAAATACTTTTCAATAATAATGAATTTAACGCCAGACATACCGCATGTTGATCAACTATCATTTGTGGTGCGGTATGTTAAAAATGACGGAACACCTATTGAACGGTTTATGTATTTTTTGCTTAATAGTGGACATAAATCGGAAGAACTTACTGATGAAATTTTAACTACGTTATCAATTTTTGATCTTGATTCAGCATTTTTACGTGCACAATCTTATGATAATGCAAGTAATATGGCTGGTGCATATTGTGGCTTACAAGTTAGAATTAAAGAAATAAATTCATTAACCAATTTTGTTCCTTGTGCTGCTCATTCCTTGAATTTAGTTGGAACATGTGCAGCCAGTGCATGTCGTTAAGCTTGCGATTTTTTTGACATTATTCAAAATATATATAACTTTTTTACAGCTTCCATACATAGATGGTCTGAATTAGAAGGAACCGTGAAAAGTCTTTCAGCAACCCGTTGGTCAGGTCGTGATGATGCTTGTCATTCTTTATCCAAAAATTGGAATAATATAGTACAAACACTACATAAAATTTCAAATAATATTAATAAAAAACCTTCAACAAGGTCGGAAGCTGTTGGCTTACTTAAAAAAATCAACAGCCTTGAAACAGTATTTATGACAATTTTTTAGACAAACATTTTAGAGCATGTAAATAAAACCAGTAAGAAGATGAATAAGTGAAAAAATTTCTTTTCTTTTTTTAAGTTACATGAAATTACTCCAGAAAAAGTAAGAGAAGATGCTAAAATATTGCAGAAAACTTACCCAAATGATTTAGCAATAAGTTTTATAAATGAGTGTGTACAATTTCAAGGCCATATAAAAACATTGAAGTTAAGCTTTCAACAATACAGATGTTACAGTTTATCAGAGAACATGATATTACTAGTGTTTATCCGTATGTTGAAGTTGCTTTATGTATTTTATTGTGTACACCATCTACAAATTGTAGTGCAGATCGTTCTTTTTCTACACTAAAAAGAATAAAAAACTATTTACGGTCTACAATGGCACAAGACAGCTCAGCTTTAACGGTATTAGCAATTGAAGCTGAAATAACAAATTCATTAGATTTTGAAAAAATAATTAATGATTTTGCTACTTCCGAAGCTAGGAAGAAAAAGTTTTGATACTTTTTATTTATAATGTATACTTAACAGTTTCTATTGAAATTTTATTAAAAAATAACGACAAAAGTTCTTTAGTTTTTTTTTACTTGGGGGAGGGGGGGGGGGGCAAAATATGTGTTGCCCTTATCCTAAAATTCCTAAATACGCCAATTTATGTTAACGAAAAATTCAATACCGTCACGATGGATTTTAGAGTCCGGTACAGAATTTTGCAGGGTAGGGCCGCATTTAAGGGGTGTGGCAATGGCTACAACTGCCCTGAGCACAAGTTTTTTGAGGGTACCAAAATTTTGTGGTCGGAAATGCGGCGTGCGGTGGCGTGCCTCCTACACAAATATAGCATTGATTTTAGAATATCTATAAGGTTCATGAGGATCTATCTCCTATATTTTTCATGGATAGGCTCCTTAGAGGGACGCCAATTTTTTTTTTTTTTTTTTGCGCCGAGGCGCAAAATTACTAAATACGACTCTGTTGCAGAGTAACACATACATTTATTTTATTTACTTTATTTTCGTATAATTTTATTCACTTTATGGTCTTTGGTAGTCTTGATTTTCGTCAATAATAACAATAAATAACCTTACTCGGGTGACAATTATTGTTATGAGAATATTTAAAGATAATTCATTTTATTTATTTATGGAAAATATAATTAACGAAGATTAATAAAAGATTGCAAGATATATCCTAGTTAGGAGTGATATTTTTATATATTAAAAACCATCTATAATAACTATAATATTTTTAACTATATTACTAATACATAATTGTAAAAATTCAATAATAACAATGATTAATAGTATTAATATTTATATATGTATGTAGTTTATTAATAGTAATACTGAACCATATTTAAATAAATAATATTACCATAAGATAAAATAAAAGTTCATAAATTATTATTATCTATTAACTATCAAATTACAGCCATTGGGAGCGTTAAATTACATGAACTCAAACAACACCTACGTCATTCAAATCATTTAATCGAATATTTTAAATGTATAATAACTATTAAGTGTTCTTTTTGTGAATGGTTCAATAAGTTCATAAAATATTCAAAAAATGTCAGTTTTTACAATCTTCAATTAAAAATTTAATATATGTGTTAACAGTTTTTTTTTTTTATGAATATTAATTTTTGGTGCACAGAAATTCAAAGGTAATTTTCTATCAAAATAAAGATAAATGTAAACAAAAGCTTTAACATAGAATAAATTTATAATATTATAAGAATTAAGACCGGTGTAAATCACACTTCTAATTAATAAATTACCTAATCATTCAAACACTCTGGATTATTGTCAGTTGTGGAATGATTCACATAAAAAATAATTTAATCAAACTGAACTCATTATTGAATTGTATAAATTCATGAGGTTATGATAAACATTAATGGGTTTATAATTAAGAAAATAGATTAAACCGAAATACAAAATAATTTGGTTGAAAATAGTTAGATAAAAATATTTTAAATAAAATAAAAAAATATATGGTCATTCCTTTTGATATACTCATATATAGATTTCATATTAAATAAAAAATTATTTTTCAAATATTTATAAGAACAGAAAATAATTCTGAAATTAAATTTTGTTACAAATTATTTCCAACAATTATACACATTAATAAATAAGAAGAAAAATTGTACAATGTGAATAGTATAAAATATATAATATTAATTATTTTAAATAATACTGTTAACATTTTAATTTTAAAACTAGTATGATTAAAAAATAATAATACTTATATTTAAATTAGTCGACCTTTAATCATAAACATATAATATAAATCATAAACAAATAATAATAAATAAAAAAAAAATTTCTTTGGTTTTTTGAAATTACTTATAAATTGGGAATAAAATCATAGGTTGTATTTAAAATTAAATAATTAAATAAAACACTTAGAGAAAAATGGTAACATAAAAAAATAACAAATAAAAATTAGTTCTATCACTTTTTGTTTAAAAACTACTAATTTAATAACTTTTTTGGAATATTACAAAATACTGACAATTATTTTAAATAGTTAATTATTACAAAAAAAAAAAAAAAAAAGAAAAAAAAAGAGATCATTTAAGTTTAGACCATAACATTTACATTATACTTAACTGATATTCTAAATTGGAACATAAAATATAGTTTAAAATAATTTATTTTATAAAAAAATCTAAAATAAATCTGATAAAAAAATATCTTAAAACATATCAAACTATTTTTGCAATTTTTGTCATTATTGTAAGTATAATAGAATTAGTAAAACGGAAAAAAATCTTAAAATAATGTTAAATTGTGACTCATGAAATTATACATTTAAAAAATATAAAATATACATTTAAAAATGTAAAAATAATAAAGATAACATAATGATAAAATGGATTTCACTAATAAAATATTATTTGAGACACAATATTGAAGAAATAATAAAGAATAATAATAGAATGTGACACAAAATGTGTATTTTACTAACCAACTGAATAAAAATTAGCACAAATTGATAGTAAAATCTTGAATAATATTTATTGAAATATATTTATTATTTTAAATTATAAATTACAAAAATATTTAAAGAATTAACTATTTTGTTAATTAAATCACAACCATGTGATATTTTATCAGATCAAATTAGTATTTGAATAATAATTAAGCATATTTATTAATTGTATAAAAATATAAATTAAAAGGACAAATATAGAATTTGTACTTAGAAAATAAAAAGAGAATTTTATTTTAAGAATTTTTATTAAAATATTAATGTTTGCCAAACGAATTAGCTTCCTTTTTAAAATTACCATTATAATAATGTTTGTCATATCCATACTTTTTAAGTTTTTTGAAAATTAAAATAAAAATTTTTTTAATTCAGTTTGGTATGACCAGATGAATTATGAATTATGTATGAATTATACAATTTATAAATCATTGAAGTATAAATTATGGTCTCAAATTATACCCCGTAATGTACTGTGGCTTGTTATCATAGTACTTAGTATATATTTTATTTATTATAAATAATATTTTATGAAAAATAATAATTTCTACTGTATGACAGACAGTAATGAAAAAATATTTAAGAAATTATTTTTATCATATTAAAATATGTTGATGTTCACTGAGTTTATACTATATTGTAAATATGTGAATGTAAAAAAAGAAATTAGGAAAAAAATAAATATTAATCTGTAAAATGAATGATATTATTTGTAAATTTTTGCATTAATTGTCCTCCTATATTTGTTATGTCTTCATCAAAATTATCAATGTTATATTGATCTTCATTGTATGGATCCAGTTCATGATCAAATCTATTAAAATTAATTGATTTTTATTAAATTAATGAAATTCATTAAGTATAAAAAATGAATGTAAACAAACCTATCTTCAAGATTTCTGCTTTCTGGTGGACTAGTCATATGAGGTTTTGTTGATAAAATTTCAATATCATCATCTTTATCAAACATAAAATCTATAAAACAAATAACAATAAAAATAAATATAAAATCAAGATTAAAATATATTTAAAACTTTTACCATCTTCAGGCATCAATATTGCTTGATGCACATAACTATACAAATTAATTTCATTACTGGGCTCATATTTAGGTTTTAAATTTGATACATTACATTCATCTTTCATCATATTTAACCAATAGGCATTAAACCAGCAAAATTTGGCTACTCTTATTTTTTTAGTCCATGTTTCATCAAATTCCTTTACAAAAAATGAAAATATAGTTAAAACTGTATTATAATTATTTATAAATAAACCATATTTTTTTCATCTCTATAGCTACTAAGCTATTATTAGCGAAATTGAAATTAATAAATAAATAATATAAATAATTAAAAACACTTTCCATTTCACTAAAAATCTATAATTATATAGATATATAATTATATAAATGTATTAACCCTTACATTAAATTAATTTTATTTAAATATAATTTTAGCTTAGTAGCTTAGTAGCATTAATAAATAGTTGATATTAAACTATATTTAAGTTATAAGTAGTTTTAGAAAATATTTAGATAAACTATACCTTAATGATATCAAGGCAATAATTGCTCATTTTACGAACTCGTATATTCGGATCATGCATAAACCCAATTATATAAATTGGACACTCTGAATATAAAAAATAAATTCTAAATATTATTTACTTATGAAACTAAAGATTTATATGTTTAAAATAAAATAATAAAATATCATTAAACCTAATATGAAAATCGTATGCATAAAAAATAAATTAACTATAAGATAATATATATTTTTTAGGTTTTATATGAAAATGTATAAGTTATAAATGAGTAGATAAATATAAAAATATACATGGTTAAAAAATTAACCAAATAGAATATTTTATTTGACAATCCTTATAGGTGATTTTGCTTAATTTTTATATATTAATAATAGCATTATAACAAACATTTTTTTTTAAGAAATTAATATTTATAATTGTTTGAACTTAATATAGATGGATACTAAAAATTCATCATAAAGTTAAAAATAAAAAAGAAATTTAACACTCATGCAAATGGTGAATATTTTTTTTTAAATACTTATACAAATACTATATAAATATGAATCATATTATTTTTAGTACAAACTAATTTTCAGAGCTCATTATTTAATGAATTTTCGAATTAATGACAAGATTCTTGATTAATAATTAAATGTTTTAATTTACAACATTTTGGAATATACAGTTTTATCTATCAAATACCATAAAAATAATATATTTTTTTTTATATATACATAAAACAAGATTTAAAATAGTATGAGAAAAATAATAAATGTTTTTAAAGCATTTTTTTCTTAATACTGTATATTTATCATTACATAAAAATGATTAAATGTAAATTTTAAAAGAAAAAATTATAAAATTGAAATAATGTAAACACATGAATTGTATACAAAAATCTTGCACAACAAATATATGAAAATGAATAAAATAAGATTGATTCAATGACTAATTATTTTATTATTATTTAGAACCTTAAATATTATAATACCAAACTAAACATTTGAAAATGTATATATATATATTAATTAAAACATTTATAATTTGATCAATTATAAACTAATTATATACCTGTATTTTGTATTATATAATCCCCTGTTATTGGATGACACATAAGTTGATACAGTAAGTACATAATTTGTATTGCTAATTCATCATCACCTCTTTGACCTAAAAATGTAAACAATACATTTAATTGAAATAAATCACAATGTTATTATATGATTTGTACCTATAACATACTAAATATATTAAATTTGATTACCATTAATAACTAGTATTACATTTAATTTAAAATAATAAATGATTCTAAATAACTAAATAACGGAATTAAATCATTTATACATATGAAGTATAAAATATAATACACAAATAAAGTTTATGGATTATGAATTAATTATAATTAGTCAACCTATGATGAATAAGTGGCATTTAAATAAAATAAATAATATAAAAATATTGAAAGTAAAAAAGTGTTTAATAAATTTGAAAATATTATTTTTATTATTAACTCGGTGAAAGACTTTTATAAATTAAACGAGAAAAAAATTTACAAAGAAATTACAATTAGAATTTCACTACATTTTTAATAGTAATGTTTTATTAACATGTCATTCAAACTTTACTTTTTAACAAATTAATCACTTGTTGTATTGTTCCATGTTCATAAAGTAATTCACCACAATTTTCATCTTTTGATACAGTTCCCAAGAGTTTTATAACTTCTATTAATAGTCTTGCATCTGTTACGTTTTGATTGGGTTTACATGCTAAAATTATACAAATATTAAAATAATTTCTTTGGTACAAAAATTATAACTAAGTATTTAAAATATATTATTTTTAAACATAACATTAATTTATAAAAAAACTGAAACATTGTTTATTAAAAAGTATTTATTACCTAATAATATACAAAAAATAAAAATAATGTATTATCAAATGTTTAAATAATTTCTTAAAAATTATTAAATATTTTTAATAACAAATATTTCAATTTGAAAAATCATCAACATATATAACTTTTAATTTTCATATTTTACATTCATAAAATTAATTGTTGTTAATTTATATATATAAATTAATATATATATTTAATATTTTAAATTATTATTTAAATTTTTATTTGAACAACATTAACACTATTTTAATTTATAATTACATTATACTTTTATAAGCCTAAAAATTAATTTAAAAAAAAAATATATAATTAAAAGGTGTATACCATTATTTACAAATTGAACCATCCAAGATATTAAATTATTAGATTCTAAAAGTTCTTTAAAATCAACTTCTGGAATATTTACATTAGCAATAATTCCAACGCATTCGATAATACATTCAATATCTTTTATTATTGTAACTAAATGAGCAAAATGTCCAATAAGTTCCTGTAAAAATTATTATATACTTAAGTGGTAAAAAAATACAGAAAACATAAAAATAATTATAGCATAATTATGAAGTCACAAAAAATGTATTTACTGTTCACAATATATTTCAAAATAATTAAATATTAAACTGATACAGTTATATCTATAATGTACTTAAATATAATATTGTTATCAAAATAATACATACCACAAATTTAGGTTTTAAAGACTCATGACTAGACATATTGTGAAGTATTTTAAAATACATTAAATCTGAAGTATCGATGGCTAATTGCACAAAAGGTTTTAAGCCACGATTAGCAATTAGAAGTTGTGAATTTCGTTCGTTTAAAGTCAAATTTGTACATAATGCAGCCAAAATTAAATTGTATTGATTAGATGCTAATAATAAGTCTGCAATCTACAACAATATAATTCAGATTGTATTCATCGTTTCAAAATAAAAAAAATATTTATTTATCAAAATAAACCTTTGTTAAACAATTGGTATGTGAAAACAATGCTCGAGATCGATCATCCATGCTACAATGATAACATAGTCTGCAAACCAATTCACTATTTTCTTCTGAGCCTGGAATAAAATAAATCTGGTTAATTTCATAATATTATGTTTTTAATTAATAAATAAATTAATAAAAATAAAATTATTATTCTGGAATATTATTATAATTGTAAAGTACAACTGATTTTGAATTAAAAATTCATGGTTGTACACATATAGTCAATACAATTTCGATTCATTTAAAATTGATGATGATTGATAATAAATTTTTACTTTAAGAGCAGTTGCAGTTTACAAAGATAATAATACTCTATTAATTTAACTATTAAGTTATTAATTTATGATTATTAACCATTTACTAATTTTTTTAATATTTTATTAATTATTTTTTCACATTAAAAATATAACTTAATGTTCATTTTAAATATAAGATACTTCTTTTTTATAAGATTATTTTGACTTAGAAAAAATTCAAAATATTATAAATTTAATTTATAGTTATTTAAAATTATCAATTTATAACTAATAAATATATAATATATTAAAATATATAATTTAATTATAGTATAAAAGATATTAATAATTTTATATAATATTATTAGTTTAAGTTTTAATATTCTAAAACACTTTATTGACATAATATTAATGAAAACAATATTTAAAAAATGTTATAAGCTATATTTTTATGCTATTATATGTATAATTATAGAGTTAAATTATCACTGGAAATATTTAAAAACTAAATATTAGGTAAATTTTTTTAAAACCCAGTAAAATATTTTTTTATAATAAATAATTTTAAATTCTTATAGTTAATACATAAAGAAAATAACTCAATACTGCTATAATTTAGAAATATAAATGTAATAGAATAACAAAAGTATAGATATTTATCAAATATGACTTTTATCCGCTTATAAATTCTAACACATGATCAAAAATATATATATTTTAAATATTTAATATACAATTTAATTATTTTACCAAAGAACTATGAATTTTTTTTTAACTTATTTAGTATACAATGTAAATTCATTGATAATACCAATATTCTAATTTTATTTAAATACTAAAATAATAATAAGTAATTACTATAAATAGTAATTTGTATACCAATTAATTCCGTTATCTTTGGTAACAATCCAACTTTTAAAATTTCATCACTAAGTGTTATATCAAATGATAAATTGTACAACAATTTTATAGTATAGTTTTCCAAATTAGGATTCTTCATCATAAACATTTTAGGTAGTTTTTCAATGACAGCATATTTTTTCTAAGACATATACATAAAAAGTAAATAAAATGTCATATACATATATATAAATTAATAAATATTTTTTTATTAACAGTTGACTATTTGTAATATAGTTTAATAAAACAATGGATCAATCTGATAAATATAAAATCAAAAACTTCACAATAATATAATTATATATATATATATATATATATATATATATATATATATATATATATACAACGAATTATTTTAATAATATAAAATAAAATCAGAACAATTATTTTAAAGGCTTTTATTCTTGTTAATTGCATTTCATAGATTATGATATATTATGGTTATAAAGTAACTTACCATTTTATCTACATGTTCTTTATACACCGACAGTTGAATTAATAATTTTATACTTATTAAAAGTAAATCAGTACTTGTTCTATCTAATAAAAGACATAGCAATTTTATAATGCCTTTTCGGACAACTTTTTCTTCCATAGTCTTATCAATTGTTATGTTATAAATAAGTTCAACTGCACCTATTAATATAAAAATATTTAATATGTTTATTCATTTAATAATACATAAATATGATTATAAATTAAAAGTATATACTATGTAATATATCTTTTGCATTAATAATATTCTTATTACAGATTAAAATCATGCTAAGTTATTTTTGAGAAGTAGGTTACTGAATACTTCTAATAAAATAAATTCCTTTATTTCATAGAATTTATTATAAAATTTACTTTTAACATATTAAATAAAATTTAAATTGATATACTAATTAAATCACATATTATAAGTTGAAGGATTACAGATTTTATAAATATATTTTATGTATATAGACAGTTGATATTATGTTTTCATATAGAAATTTATCAGATTAACTAGTTACTTAACTAAATAATATTATGTGAAGTTAAAAAATAAAATAAAAATATTTAAGTTAAAATAATAATTTCATACATAAGTAAAAATATATAGAATAATGAAATACATAATATGTATTATTATATTATATCAATATATTATATTGTTACACTAATGACAATACCACGTATCTACATTTCATCAATTGTTCAGGAGAGTGAAAAAACTGAATAAATATTAACAAATATTATACACCTCATATTTGTATTAAGTTTAAATTTATGTTATGATTATTCAACATTATTATTAATAAAATTCTTTAAATTTGATTGCTGTTTAAAATGTAGTGTAGTTGCTTAGTATTTACTTAAATTTTTGTGAGATACATGTTGTTGAGCAGTGCTTTAAATTGGTTGAAATTTATAAAAATACTAAATAATATAACCAATTTGGAGGGGAAATAATTTAATTTATTTTGGTTATTGCACAGAATATACATTTTGTGTGCAAGGAGATAACAAACATTTTGATACCAGAAACTCATTTTATGTAAAATGTCAGATACCTAGTATTGTCATTAGTGTAACAATATAAATCATTTAACACAAATATTATTTTTCTTATCAATGATCCAAGTTAATTGGTTAGATTGTTAATAGATTTACAAAGTTTTATTCTAAAAATGTATTAGGTTTAATAAGTCATATTTAATTTGCTTAAAATATGAATATATATATAACTAATGTCACTTATTGTAATAACATATTCAAATACTGTTCTATCAATTTTCTCTATTGCAATAGAATTCTCTAATTTATGAATATATTTTGAATACCTAAAGCACTTCGTGATTAATACATATTTATTAAGTCATTATACTATTCTACATATGTAATTATATAAAAATATAACAAAACAAACCTTTTAATGCTTGATCTTGGTTTTTTCCTAATTTAAATAAATTCCTTCTGAGTTGATGTAATGCTAATTCATCAGGACTTCTAGCTGATAATAATGATTTTATATTATTTGTATCCAAACTCCTAGGAGTTTTATCTAGATAAATTAGTTTATTAATTTTTTGTAAAATAATAATATTGTATTTATAAATTACATAATACTAATTTAGAGACAGTGTATAGAGTATACATAAAAAAATATTTAAAATTATACAAACCTTTTACAGTTTGTTTCATATTTTCAATTGATGCAGAATGTCTGCGGCTGTCACTATTGGTACTAGCACTTACAGGTATTTGACTACGAACTATTTTTGATGTTATAGGAGCACTTCTAGGTACAGGTAATTTTGAAGGTGTTGGTATTTTTGGTGTTTTTGATTCACGAGGAGCAGATACTATTTGACTTTTAAGCTTATCGTAACGATTTAATTCATATTCAAGAACTTCTACACAGAGCAAGCAAATCTACATAATTATAAACAAAAAAAGTTAATATTTTAAGTTAAAAATATTTAAACATAAAAAAAATAATTTATAAACTAACTTTATGGTCAATTAGCATCTTATGAAATATTTTGTAAGCAGAAAAACAAAGAAATATATTTATTATATTTGAGCTCAATTCAAAACTTTTGCGATACTCTTCTCTGAGAACTCTTGCTAACGCACTCATGGTAGGCTCTACAAAAATACTGTACATTAATATTTAATTATATAAGTAAAATTATAGCTTATAAGTATTAAAAACAATGTTTATACTATTTTTAATCAATCAAAGTTTTATATGCCTTATAAGTAATTAATTATAACTTGTTTTATTAAAAAAATAATATTATAATTAATTAATCATGAATTTTATCATTTATAAATTAAACAATTCAAAATAACTTTATAAATTTACAGACAACTGGAAATGATAAGCTAAATGAAGATATGAAAAACATTAGAAATATAAATACAAATGCAGTGCAATATATGGTAAAACACTGTGTATGAATAAATTAGTAAAAACCAAATATGAAGAATTTTAATTTAACTGTCGTTATTAAAGATTGAAATATCATACAAATTTAATGTTTAATTGGAAATTATAATAAATACTATTTATCAATATGTATTTACTGTTTTGTATTTAAGTTTAAATTATTGATAAGATAATTTTACAGCTAAAATTGATTTTGAATTAATTAATATTAAAAATATACCTGAAGATGATAGCTCTTCTAGATTATCTTTATCGCAGGTTACTTTAAGTATAAATCCAGAACCACGTACTTTTTTTGGCATATCATCATATAACATTTCAATGTATTCATCAATTTTAGCCAAACTGGCTTTATCATCAGGCATTAAACCACAAATATGATATATACTAGATGGACTAGTTTCCAATCCTAATTGAGTTTTGTCTTCTTTAGTTTTGTTATCTATAAGAAAAATGATCAACTATAGTAAAAATACACTTTTGTTGTATTAATAAATATTACTTGCAATAGAACGGGTTTGTAAATAATAAATTAAATGTTCTACATCATATAATTTGGTTTCATGTATAAGATTACATTTATGTATTACTTCTTTTGCTAATGCTCTACAATCTGTATTACTGTTCAAACTTTTTAAATGTATTACTTTTTGACATTCCTAAAAAATATAAAATATTTTATCAACTTATTTATATTTATACTTACAAACTGAAATTAATATAACAATTTATATTCAAAGAACTAGTTTATTAATATATTTTTTAATAGATCTATTGAATATTGTATGGTATGGGATGTTTGTCATAATTAATAAAATGTATAAGACAGTTTCTCAGTGATAATTGAATAATGATTTTATTTCAAAATACATAAATATGTATATTGATTATAAATAAAGCAACTATTAAATTGTACATAAAATAAATATATATCTAACCTTATGATCACCTATTACAGGTTCTCCATTTTCACCAAGTACAAATGCGTCAAGTTCATAATTAACCACAATAGCAGTTTCCGTAGGATGAGCATCTACAGCTCCTGATCTGACTCTTCTATAAATTAAACATAGCATTTAAATGAATATATTAAATACTATTCATATTTAAACAATTATAATATGAATAATAATAATTTAATAATATTAAAAATTAAATTATACACTAAATTAATAAAAAAAAATAATGTATCAAATAATAAGTGAATAACTTATAAATTATGCCAACATGGTTAATAATAATTGTATCTTAATCATTTGATAGAATTCACACGACAAGATAATTACTGACTAAAAAAAAAGTTATAAAAGGAATATTTGAATAATTTTACTTAAAAATTAATCAAAACAATTGTCATAACTAAAATAACTACTCATTCCATCAGTGGCGTATGCAGAATTATACAATGGGGAAGACTTGAAAATAAAAAATTACTCAGTTGTAACAGGCGCATTGGCTTAAAAAATAAAATAGTTGGTTTTTATCTCTTATTTAAATTAAGCATTAAATAAACAAAAAATATACAAAAAAAAAAAAAATAACAAAAATAATGGGCAGTAAAAAACATTTTTATTTAGTCTAATCTAATAATTGTAGTCGCTTAGGTGATGTTTTTGAAAATGTTTGTAGAACTTCCAATTCGGTCAGATTTTCTTTTGTATTGATATTTGCTAAAGCTAATCCATTAAGACGTTCCTCCATCATAGTTTATCTTTGGAATATTGGCTAGATTAACAATGTTTGGATTGTTGCTAACAATTGTTCAGTTGTAATCATAGATTATAAATACCCACCTAGATACATGTAATCACCATGTAATCACAGACTGAGATATATAAAATATTTATTAATATCTTAGTCCGTGGTTCTAATAAATGATTAAATACATGCTTTGAGATACTATATTAAATCGTTGGTAGATTTAAAAAAAATAATAATAATACAGGCAATGGGAAGGCCAACTCCCTTGCATACGCCACTACATTCCATAATTAAAATGGCAAAACTTTTTTGGCTGTCATTTTCTTGACAAGTTACAGAGAGGAATGTATTTGAAATATTTATCATAGAGTGAACACTATATATGATTTTATAAAATGTAAAATAATAAATTACTATTTTAGTTTTTATAGTTAACAACTGACAAAAAATAAATAAGTACATATCATTAATTCAATTTCCATAAGTTAGTATCAAAAAGTATAATCTTTATCTATTTTCTATTTTTTTGATTTTAAATAACTTGTGAATAATACAGTTTGAAGAGTATTAGTAGTGTATTAATATTATTAATAGTGTATTTTATAACTAACCTTTTTATATAATGTGTCCCTTCTGAAATCATTGTGATTGATCGACGATAGCAATCAAACAATCAAACAGAATTCAAGCTCAGTTGATTAAAACAAATGTGAACGATCAACGAATGAATCACCCGTAGAATGAATAACGCCAACACAAAACGGTAGAACAGAAAAACACTGTAAGAACGTGTTTAGCAATCGGCACGAGAATCATCAATGAAATACGACAATGGGAGAGTGATTTAACCTAATTTTTTCAAGGATAGTTTAAAATCGTATAAAGTTAATATCTCGTTTGTTCAATTGACGTCGTCGTTGAACAGATGCCGGACGAGGCGGGACGAAAATTAATATTCCAGACGTTAGGACGTTCGGACTGCTGATACGAATATGCGATGGATACTCCCAATTCGATCTGGACTACGGCCGTGAAAATATTGAGCGAAATGAGGAAAAACTTGAGGAAAAGAGTCGATGACGCAGCGAACGCTGATATCGTGATAACGTGATATCGTTATCATTGATGAGAAGTTATCAACAGTTATAGAGTTTTCCGCCTCTTTGCATTGCTACACCAACGTCTCACCGCACTCTAACAGTTCACTGATAATCGTACTGGTGCAAGCCGGTGCAAGTGCAGATAAAACATAAATCCTATTATCAATTTCATCGTATCACAGAATATGAAGTTTGATTTAGAAAAACCAGCGATGAACACATCTAAATAATTCCCTGGGCTGTGATTGGTCGGAAAACTTTTTAAATTCCGCGGAGGCTTTTTCGTTTCTTAGTCGACCGTTTCCAGTAGACTTTTGTCTCCTTTGTCCATTTCAAGGGTCCGTTTGTGAAGGCACTCAATTACACCGAAGGTGAAATTAGAAGGGACAGAGCCCTTCAGTATGATGTTCAATTGTAAATGTATACTATATGATATTATGTTTGTTTTTTCAATAAACGATGTGGATAGGGTAGAGGGAAGGACGGCTCAACAGAGTGAAGTACCCCTCTATCTCTAGCGCCACGATAACGCACAAAAAAAAAAAAAAAAAAAAAGGGTCCGTTTCATTTTCCGACGCACCGTTTTCCCGATGCGACCGGATTAAAATCCGAGATTTTCTCGACTAAGCACCAGCCCAATCGGAGCGTTCTTTATCTGTGCCTCTCGCACCGCCGTGATGTTTCGCTCGCATGTGACGTCACCGACCGACGTTCGTAGTTCTACCTTATCTACCCGTCGAACCGTTTAAATGCCCGAATCATCCGATTACATACCATCCCGCTAGGTAGGTAGGCTGTAGTTGTAGGTCCCGATATGAACCCCGTAGGTACGGCTTTCGATTCCGGGCCACCGCCGTTGGCGTACTTTGAAGGTTTTCCGCCGCCGGCTGAAACTTTGCCGCCGCCGTCGATTCTTATGGGCGTCGTTTCTGCTTTCGCGAAATCTGTTTTCTTTTTCCGTCCGTCGCGTCCGATTTTCGCTGCCGCCGTTTGTTATCAACTACCGGCGCCGTATCTTATCGACGAGAGTGTTGATCCCGCTCGCGGTTTCTTTTTATTTATTTTCCGCCGTCCGTCAAGTCCGTTTTTTTTTTCGTTTCAAACTTTTTTTTGTGAAATCGTTTTTGAGCGCGTCTCATTAATTCTTCGCTTTAATCGTATATTTTAATACATGTTATGTGATATTCGATTCGTTTTACCGAAAAATATGAAGAGACATAACTAATCGGATGTTTTCATTGCATATATTGATTTGATGTGAAACAGTGAAATGTTATTATTAAACGCTTACACAAAGCTATGAAACGAAGAAAACATGGTACGTAATACGTTTAAATTATAATTTTTTTTTTTATAAGCGTTAAGTACGTTCAATACGATTTGTTTTGCCAAACGATGTTGGGAGATAGCTGTTGTTTGATTTATTTATACTTTTTTCATTCGAATGCAATTGAATCAACGTATCGTCAGTGCTAATGATACTAACGTAAATAACGATAAAACGTACACGTCCCTAAAATAAAGAAAATTAGGTATGTGTTACATTTTTTAACTTCTACGTTCGACTTCATATTGAATGTTACTTTTTTCGGTTTTAGTAATGAGTCTTACGGTATCAGCCGTTACACTTGGACGGAAGGAAATGAAAACTTTTATGATATTATGAAGGTAAGAAAAACCAGTAACTTTAGCCTTCTTAGTACTATATGCTATATATGTGTTTTTTCAAATTTATTAATTACATTAATTTTTATTTGTTTTACCAAAAAATAAAAAGGAATTTGATTGACATTAATGATTTTTTTATAAACACAAACAGATATAAAAATGAAATACAATATTGATCACACATATGATTATTAAATCTATCATTCGACTATGATTTAATTGTGTCTTTAAATAATGTTAAATAACTATAAATTTGTTTTTTAAATGTTGAATACATTAAATTTGATTTATTTTTCCAAATAATATAGGGATATAGCTGTTGTATGTTTTCATTTTACTTTGGAATAGAATTTAATTCAATGTGTTATTAGTGCTAATGATACTATTTAAAACGTACACACCTATAAAATAATGAAAACATGCTATGTATTACATTTTTAACTCTTTCTTTCAATTACATATATATATATAGAATGTTATTCTTTCCAGTTTTAGTAAAAAAGTTTTACAGTATCAGTCCTTATGCTTAGATGAAAGGAAATAAAAAACTTTGATGATGTTATGAAGATGAGAAAAACCATTAAGTTATACCTTCTTTGTACTATAAGCTTTAAGTGTTTTTAAAATTTGTTAATTACATATTCATTTTTATTTGTTCCACCAAAAATTATGAGGACGGAGCTATTGTATGTTATCATTGAGAAGGAAAGTGATTGACATATATGATATTTTTATGAATACAAACAGATATAAAAATTAAAACACTTTTTATAGTTCTATTGTTCACATATGTTTATTAAGTCTATCGTTCGACTGTAATTTAATTGTGTCTTTAAATAATGTTAAATAATTATAAATTTGTTTTTTAAATATATTAAATACATAAAATTTGATTTATTTTTCTAAATAATATAAGGAGATAGTTGTGGCATGTTTTAATTATATTTTATTCTTTGGAATGGAATTGAATTCAATGTGTTATTGGTGCTAATGATAATATTCAAATCAAACCCAGCTATAAAATAAAGAAAACTTGGTATGTATTACAATATTTAACGCTCTTATTCCTCTATGATATAAATATCTTTTTAAAATATCTTAAACTATATATTGTTTATTTTGCTCATAGTGGGTTGCAGAGTAATGAATTAACGAATGCTCATACACCAGTTTAGTACTGTTGTACCCAAGAGCTTGGTTATTATTACACTTTTCTCCTAATATTATAAGAAAAAATTATAGTCTTAGTATAGTTTATTTATTTAAACCGTATCTTACTAAACGTTTTATATAATTATAAAAGTATTTGCTTTGATTATGTTATGTTTCATATTTGTATACATTATCTTCACATATTCTTTAAGTTTAAAAGCACAAATATGCTATGACTACAAGAAACTTTCACACTCTGTCTTTCATAAATTATTTATATTTTTATATATTCATTCTGTATATTTTTTTTAAATATTGTCGATAAGTACTTTTATGTTCTCTTAATGCGAGAAAGGGGTTGGCGACCTCCACGTGGTCTTTCTTGGATGCGTTTTTCACTGAGAATGATTATAGTGTAAAACGTAACTAACGCCAACATTTATGTATACACACCTATTATAAAGTATTCACTTATCGCTCAAATTTTTTTTTTCAGATAACATCAAGGAAGGTCTTACCCCATTTTTATAGTTTTTTGTGTACAGACTCACTTTGTATATATATTCATTATTTATTATTGAAAAAATACTTTTTTGCATTAGGTCTTCTTACTTTGAACCGACTGTACTGTATTTAAAAGTTTTTTTACTTTGATAATTTCATATCTAAAAAATGTCAAGTTATCTAGCATTTATGAGACTTATAAATTATTGTATCTAATTTATTTTAATAAATGTGTCCCTTCGTTTTGCTATAGGTTAGGTTACTGGAGAAGACACTTATAATGTTTTTGTTATCATAAATATATATTTTATTCGGTAACTGAAATATCAAGATCTATATGCATATTCATACCTTTTTTTTTAAATTCTATGCCAGTCTATTAAATATAATAAATTATACACATATGTAACCTTTAACTATTGTTGAGAAGACACTTATATTTGTAAGAGTATAATTATTATGTTTGATTATTTTCAATTACACTGCGGTTTGCCCTCTGCTATTTCATTTTTTTTATGTACATATAAATATTTTATATATTTATTATATTGGTTTTTATACGTTTGACACCATGCATCGATTGTTAGTATAGTACCGTAAGTATGGTGCCGTAGTATTTTTAAGAAAACAATTAGGTGGGGTCTCCAAGATAGCGAACGAAGGCGTATCAATTTTCTACCCGTATATTATCAATAGTTAATAATTATCATAAGTAGTAACCGTGGTAGTATTGCATGATAAGTCATACCTACATAAAAGTGTTTTGAATATTATTAATTGATTAATTAATTATTAATTTATATTATAAATATTAATAATTTATATTATTAATTAATAATTACTTATATTAAGCAAATTTCATCCGGAGCGAGGCACACAGAAGCTATACATAATACAAACATAATAATTAATAAAGTTTAACATACTTTTTCTCAAATAGTATATTGTACAGTCTCGATGTCTCCGTGGGTACGTTCGAAGGAGAGTTATCAGAACCTGGATATAAAATGAGAAAATGAAAATGATAACGAAAATTAACAAGATAATAAAATAAGATATGTTAGGACTCGGTTCAGTTTTATAAAGAATTGAAATAAAAATTGAATAATTTAAATTTATTTTAAGTAAATATTAACATTAAACCATTATTAAGTAATTAAGATGGATGGTATAAAATCAATTCTCATCATGGCGACTATGTATAGTATAGGTATATATTTCTATAGATACTTATATTTCGTATTTCATAAAACATAATAATAATCGGTGTTTTATTACGTGCTTTAAATATTATAGTATTTTGTTTACGTTTAATTATTTGACAAACATAAGCATCATATTGTATTGGTAAGTAAGGTTGTATGAATAAACAGATAAATGATAATCAAGGATATTCAACAGTTTTGTTTTAGTATTTATCAAATTTCAATAATTTGATTGTGCTGCGGCAGCCGTGTTTGAACCGTAAAACGTGCCAGGAATACTGTTTATTCGACGTGTTCGCGTTGGACACACTGGTCAGACAGGCTGATTCGTTGAATACACTTCATCGCTGGTTCACTTTCTTGGTTTTCAATCCATCATTCAACCGCACGACTGAACGTTTCTCGAGATGGCCATCGGTGATTATCCCGCTGAATACAAACCTAAAGTGCACGGGCTCTACGATCCGGCCCGTTTCTACGGAACGCCGGATACGCCATTCTCGCAAGTGAAACTTGGCGAGGTGACTACTATTTTAAAATTATTGCGTTATACGTGAGAAACGTGAATGCCTACAACGCGTTCTCCTTCTTACTATTATACGTATTGTTCTCGCCATTCCGGAGAGCCGTACCGAGGCTTTTTTATCCTGAAGCACTGCGCCTCTTAGGTTGTAGGGTTGTCACACTCACAGCTTTTAATATGTATAATACGATTCGGAAAAATCTGAAAATTGTTATTAGGTTTCTAGCAAAACAAGTAATAACATTTCTTAAAATAAGTTAATAACCTATTTAATATTTGCTCTGTGGTATTGTTAAACTGTGTATAGTTTTGAAAATAAAAATGGATTTATAGATTTAATTTGCACTATAAAAATCCATCTGTATGTGTCCTTCACTTAGAAAATATTTTTTCAGTTCTCATTATATTTGCCTTTGTTTAAATTGTACAATATTTTACCGAATATATAATAAACAATAACAAATCTTGAAAGAGTTTAATTTTTTGATAAAAGTATAGATAAATTTGACTTTGCTACTATTACTAAGCCTGTTAATTTCCTTATTATTATTATTAATTTCTTTGATACCATTGTTATCATTAATTAACATGAAATTTGTAGACATTTATTTACACATAATCATTAACAGTTGTATGTAAATAAACCTTAAAACTTTTTATAGAAGTTTTGGTGTTTATTTTATTTTCGTATTCAGTTAATTTACTTTTCACTACTATGAAACAAAAATAAATAAAATAATAATCGAGTAACCATTTTGATGTTTGCATAATTATAATTTACTTAGCACTTGAAAACTATAATATTTTATTTTATCCAATGGTTTCGTTGGTTTTAGATGACTCAGTGGATTGGACGTCTTAATAAGTCGCCATCAGCACTTGCTGAATTATTTTCTCGTGCTTACTGGTGATGGTATCACAAATATGTCCAACCAAAACGTACTACGGTTGTTCCACTAATCCACATTATTACTGGATCGATGTTGTTTTTCTACACTATTAACTAAGGCAAAATAATCCGTGGACGTAATTACCAACATCACTAATGGTCGACTAACAATCGGACTACTGTGTTTATATAATAAATTAAAATAATGTCACAGCCGCATGTGTTATAAATATATTAAAAATATTTGTATACGCACAAAAACCAATAATATACTTTTTCAAAAAAAACTACTAAAATATGCAAAAAAAACCACAAATATAAACTCACTACGTGATAGAACTCATTATTAGTTCACCTAGCTATAAATAGTATATATAGAAGAAATAGAAAACAGTATGTAATTTCTATAACTTGTGGTCCTTAGTCTTAACCAAAGCTCGAATCTAGTTATATTATATAATTATTATTTTATTTTGTCATCTAATCATGTGATACTCAGATAGTCATATTCGCTTTAGAATACACTAATAGTAATACAATTATTATTAAGAAAATTATATTATTAAATATTTATTTACCAAAAAAAAATGAACGTACGGGATTTTCTGATGTGACAGAGAACGAACAGGGTTCAATCAAATTTTTCTTGGTAAAAAAATAGACTTTTCAAACTTTTCTGTAATATTTTACGCAGTATATCTATCCATCCTAAAACTACCATCTTGTAACTAATACAATTATTCTAACAAGTATATGAATCTGTTCAAATAACCGGAATAAATGTGAACTATGTGTGCTCAATAAAATTTTTGATTTTTGGTACAATCGTCCGTTTTCTGGATATTATATACTTTATTATTTCATCATCATCATCATCACTTAGACCAAAAATAATCGATGATTGTCGAAATTATATGTTTTTCCAATTTTTCATTGTTCTTTATCAGTTTTGAATTAACCCGAAAACAATTACCATTGAAAAATGATTACAGCATTATGTATTATGATGTATATAAATTAATTTTCTTGCTTCTTATGATTTTAATATTTTACTATTTTTTTAATTTATATTCTTTTTCTATTTACTATTTATCAAATATCAATACGTCGAATTAGTATTTTCATGATACCTAACAATAAAGCCAACAACAGGAGTTCGTGCAACTATCACTGCGCTCGGTGAAAAAAAACAAGTATAGCGCAGGAACGTGGAACACGAAAATGAGAATTTTAGTATTCATTGTATATTGTTGGCGAAACATAAAAATGTATGCTAGTTATAGTAATCCCATAGATATTACAAACACATCGACTTCAAACAGGGGCGTATTTAGATATGTCTTATGGGGGGGGGGGGGGGGGCAGAAACAAAAAGTTCAAAGTGTACATAGTTATAATTTTTCCACCTCAAAAAACTGTCGTTATTCATAACCAAATAATCAACATACAAGTGTTTGATAGAAACATAACATTTTATTACACAAATTTATAATAAAACATATTTTTAAATATAATTTTTATAATTACAATAACTGAAGACGTCTGGGGTGTTTATTAGCATATGCATCAACTACTTCTTCAGGTTTTATAATTATTTCAGGGTGTATACTATACAATGCTAATCCGTTTAATCAATGGTATAATATTATTATGATATATTGATATTCCAGTATTTCACCGTGTTCCCGTGCGTGAAAAATAATAGGGCCTACAATAATAAATAAAGTATAAAATACGACGAATGGGCGGGAGGCACGGGCCCCATGGGCCCACCGCTTAAATACGCCCCTGACTTCAAGTATAATTCTATCCGGATTACGAAACCCATAGGTAGTACGAGCACGTCGAAGGAAATACCTTATAGACTATTCGAGGCCATGGAGACCTCGGCATCCAGTAGTCTCTTTTTTTCTTGTTTCCTTATTGCATTTCCGTTTTTCCTATTAACAACCTTACAGAAACAGGTAACGTAAGAGAAGCACTAGTATATGTACGGATATGTTTTTATACTAGGGGAGAACTAACTTGTATCTGTTTGTCTCAACACGTAGTCTATGTTTCACTCCTTGCGGCTAAACCGTAGATTACCTTAGTATTTAAATTATGTTAGTTTTCAATATTATTTTTATTTTATTTAATAAAGTATTAACATTTATATAAATGTTCGTGTATTATATCTGAATCTCTGACGTTTCCATCTACCAGCCAACAGCGAGACCTCCGTCATTAAATCATTGTACGAATTCAACCACGTTAAATCGAGGCTCACTACACAGTAAAATTAGTTCGATGTGGTGGAAAACGTTATTAGTAAGTCGTTATATACTACACGTAGCCCAGCACGAACGGATCGATACAGCTATATTGATTCACATTCCGTACGCGCATGCGAGCAACAATAACTTATATTCTGATCAAAATGCTACCAACATCTTATAAATTATTATATTTTTTCATCACAATATAAAAAAAATGATAGTTTATTACTATTTGTCGCGATTTAAGATTTAAAGTCGTGTTATTTGTCGTGATATCATAATGGTTGTTAAATTGTTTTTAAAAAGATATAGTAATAAACATGATCGCGATCATGTATGATTTATTTTTCTAGAATAAAAAGCACTTTAGTTTATTTTTAGCTTTGCCATACTACAAAATATATTACTGGTATAATAATCTCCAAATAAAAATATTCAAGCATAATACATTATATTTTTATGACATACATATATAGTATGTAAACAAATAACCAGAACATTTAAATTAAAATTAGACTCCTTTTATCGATGATTGAATACTATTCCCGTAACTATTATTTGATTAAATCACACAAAATAAAATACAAATATATCATTCCATATAGTACCTTGTGCGTGTAATCAGTGTTTCATAAAATTTCAATAAAATATCAGCAGAGGCAGATCCAGAAATTTATCAAGGGGGGGGGGGTAATTAAAATTTATTCAACAGATACTATTCATACTTAATAACATACTTTTTAATATTATTAATTTAAATTTATTTTTTAAAACTAGTATCAATGACAACAATTATATACTTAAAAAAAAAACCACACAAATTTTATTGATATGGTATACCAAAATGATTTTTTCATCAGTCATCAGTATTGTTTTTCATATTGACAGTACATCAGTACTTACTTCATACGATCAATAATACTGAACGCTGAATATAACTAGAAATTTCTAAAATTCTCTTATTTTCTAGGATAATAAGCTCAAGGGTATTTACACTATTACCTCCCCTCCCCCTTGAATCTGCCACTGAATGTCAGAACTTGCATTGAATAAATGTAAACGAAATAATAAATAAAGTTATAACCACGATGGAAAGTAGAAATGCTCTTTATGTTTAAAAAAAGTATAATCGATAATACGTGTTTATGGTATTCTGATAGGATATGATATATTGTTGCACGCATGCGCGTGCGGAGTGCTAAACTAGCTGGAATGACCCGTTCGTGGTCCAGCCAGGAGCGTTTTAATAAAGGAATTGTGCGCATACGCTTTTATTATCTTAAGTGCGCCAACTTTCTTTTTTTCCCATCTGTTTATATTCACATGAACAACAACATTCTAGTTTTAATATATGCATCATTTTCAATAGAGTTTATTTCAGACCTTCTATCTCGGTATCCGTGATTTAAAGATATACTTTATATATCTATATAAAGTAATATATACCTAGTATCAGTGGCGCACTAACACGTACTTTTATGGGGCAGTTCGCCCCTTCATTTAACTATGGAGGTGGGTGTATGGGGTGGGTTAGGTGGATAAATTTACACTCTAGTTAGTAAATCTTAGGAATGTATAAATTAAATGATAGTCGATCTATAGATGATAGGGTACTATGATGCAATAGAGCAATATGCCTATCAATGCATGTCTTTATACCATATCAAGTATAAAATCGTACATTGACATTTATATCTATTTCGCACACATGATGAAGCTAAACGCCTCTCGATTGTCAGTGTTTAAAAGTAATTATACAGCATAAATACATCTTTTAAACATTTTAAGATAGTTGCTTAAATTACCAATAGCCCTGTGAATCATTTTTGAAACATCTTTTTTAAATTACAATTCTTTAATTATTAAATAAACTGTTTTTTGTTTTATATTTCTTTAATTTTAATAACGTATTTAATATTTAAATAATTAAACCTATATTTATATACGTTTCAAATTGATATTAAATTTTTTTTTCTAAAACCACTATGAAGTAGGTAATTAATAAGTATGGTAAACAGTGTCGTATTTAGTAATTTTGTGCCCCAGCGCAAAAAAATAGTTTGACACCCCTTTAAGGAGCTTATTCACGGAAAATATAGGAGATAGATCCTCATGAACCTTTTAGATATTCTAAAATTAATGCTATTTTTATGTACTAGGTACATTTTTTATAAAATATATATCTGACGTTACTAATATCATACATTTTTCGGAGTATTATTTTTATTAGATATAATTATTATTTTTTATTTGTATTGGCTACGGCTGACTATTCATATTTATAATGCATTAATAATATTTTTATAAATTATTAAATAGGAGGTTTTTTAAAATCACTAATTAAGTACTTAAATAGCGAGTTAATTTTAGATGAATTAACAGAACGTGTTTTAACACTTCGAACTACTATGGAAAGTCAAGATGATGCTCAACAATTTATTACACAATTTCGAAAGTTAGATTATAGCAACTGGATAATAGGATAGTAATAATAATAATAATAATAATAATAATAATAATAATAATAATAATAATA